GGGTGTCAGCATATTTACAAATTTGGATATAGGATAGCCCATACTTTTATCTACCTGTCGGATTACATTTTTTTGTTGAATTCAAAATAAATAAGAAATAAATGTATATAAATGAGAACATGTTTTCTCGTTCAGTTAGCCATTTGTTCACGCTGGAGGTATATACTTCACAAATGCAGCCGTACTTTGCGCGCATTTTCTTGCTTTTGAATGTTGGTTGCATTGTTGGTTGTCGTTGCTAATTTGTCGGAACTAGTCATTTACGTTGGTTTTGAAAAGGGTTTTGAGAAATAACGATACATTATATAGGGCCACAAGAAGCAGTAAAAATAAGTAAGAAATAGCTCGAAAAAATGGTCAAAAAAGGAGAGAATATTATCGATCACTACCTCATCACGACCGGATCAGAAAACGTGTGGTGCGAAGATGTCATTCCGGGTATCAAGCCAGAGTCAGGGCAAGAAAAATGTGAAACGAAACATAATTTCTAGCAAAAAGGCAACTTTTTAGCATCCCGTATAACTAAAAGGAAAAAATGTTCACAGACGAAACCATCAATCGAGATAAGAGATAACGCTGAGTACAATCAGATTTGCAAGTTTACTTTTGCAAACACTGACTCCTGTGAGACTCACACAGCAAGAAGAAAAACAGGACGCTATCGACGGCGCCAGTCTCAGCATACTTCCTATAATGCCTAGTGCCTTATTTTATTCTAAAAAAAAAAGACTCACTGAAAGGAGCTACAAAGACTTAACTTGACCAGCAGTTAATGTGAAAAGAACAACTCGCCATCGCAGTTCGAAGCTACGCCGCGCTAAATAATGCCATACCCATGGCAGTGATACGCCACTACATCCAAAAGAAGTAAGCTTATTCAATCAAACAATGAAGTTTATCCAGTGTGTCGTATGGGGTTGTAGTTCATTATGGTCTGGATCAAATCGTCTCGGAAGAATGCTCGATGAAATGATGGAATTCGTACCCTTCGCATCAATGTTAAACGATGAAGGTTGCCGCTCTAAATGTTACCGCAAAACTTGCATCGGGATCGGGAAGCTCAAGAAAATGCCAGTCTGCGAAGAACGGACGGAAAAATAGCGGTGGAGCAGAAACAAGATGCATAGGACTGATTGGAGTATAAGTAGCTGGGACAAACATCTGTGCCGGTGGTGGCCTGTTATTACAGGAACTTCTACTTTGGATATCTCAGGAAACTGGCAGGTCACCATTTCTAGGCCAGCTGTGGACATTTTTGATGGAGAAGCCAAGAAATGTGCCAAGGGCGAAGAGCATACTGCAACTAACGAGCTACAGAATATGACGGAGGCGCCGGGGGCACTAATCGTTTGGCCGAACGGGGAAGAGCACTCGATCCGCGCCCCGGCAGGTTACCTGTGCTCCAGCTTCCGAGCTGAGATGGTCGCCCTCCGAGCTGCTCTCTCCTAGCTGCTGGAGAACCCGCCGCACGCCGAAGACACCATCGTAGCCTGCACCGACTCGCAGTCCGCCCTCGCCGCCATCCGAGGTGGCTGGGCCGCCCAGCACTCCCCGCTCGGAGTGGACATCTGGAGAGCCCCCTGGGGACTGACAGCTGGAGGCCTGTTGGTCTACCTACAGTAGGTGCCCTCACAATGCAGGTTGGAAGGCAACGAGAGAGCCGACACCATCGCCAAGAAGGCAAACATACTCGACTAAAAACAAATCCTTATAGACGTCTAGAAGGCCCACTGGGCCGCCGCCAGAGTGGCGAGGGCTCGCACCGTCGGGGCCTGGCCAGCCGGCTGGTTCCACCAGCTGACGGGGATCGACTCCCGCCTACCGTTGCCGGCGGCGACCGGCCAGCGGCGTTGGACATCCACCAGCTCCGCGCCGGCCACTGGACAAGCTCCTCCCAATGGCGCCACAGAGTCGGGTTGGCGCCCTCCTGGCTGTCGGGGTGCAACCAGTGCGACGACCGACAATGCAGAGCCGCACTCTACCCGTCTGCTGGGAGGAGGCGGACAGCCCAAGCATGTCCTCCTGCGGTGCCCGGCTCTGATGGGCACCCGACATCGCCTGATGGCGACCATCAACCCCAACATGGAGGAGGTGCGGAGCGGCAGCATCGTGGTGGCCCTTGGGGCCGCCCACAGGTCCCTTCAGAGCTGCTCGGCTACGTCTCCATGGGACGAAGGGACACAATAAAAGCAACAATAGCTACAGCATGGCAACGTGATGGGAACGACGGTCACAAGAGCTATCGCCTTATCATTCAGCAGCGAGTGGAAAACGAGCAGACGAAGGGATACGTTGCAATTGGTGATGCGCATGTGCGAATGTGTGAAAGTGCGACTATGTGTAGATGCGTGGTGCGAAAAAGTGGGTAGCAGAGAAGAACAGTGAAGACACCGTTGCAGCAGACACACATTTTCCCGTAAAGTCCCCCATCGGCATTACCGCCAACCTTTACCACCAGCGCGGTCGGTGCACTGTCGCGCGAGTTTGTAGCCAGCCATGTCAGAGATGTGAACAATCCAGCACACGGGGGAGAAGAAAGGGATCATAGCCACCCTTTCTCGCTGGATCCCGCGGTGAAAATGGACTAACGCCATTTTCAAGCCCACTGGTGCAATGTGAGATGAACTTGGCATGAGGACATCAATGGGTGTCGATAAACGTGAAATGATGTTCCAATACAGATTCATATCGACCAGAAGCCTTTCTTATTCTGAGCTACGAGCAATAGATAGTACAAAAACAAAATATATTACATAAAATTCAGCCTGTCGACAGGAAACAATAAAAGGGTATTGTGTTACAACATATGGGTTCATATAACGGCTTCAGAAATTTGGGCCTCCAATGCTGATTTCCCAAATCAGCGCACAGTCCATATATAGAGAAGTCTGTGGTCGAGTCAATCCAGAATTCACGAGTTAAGCACAATCTTGGGCGTCAATATTTCAGGTTGTCTCAGCTCTGTAATAGGTATATCTCTGAATCACATGCCCGGCCAAATGACCCCACTCCCCCGGCCAAATGACCCAAATGACCCCGGTACCGGGGTCATTTGGCCGCCGTGCAGTCTTTGAAAGAACGGTTAATTACCACCGAAACGAGATGTCCCGGCACGATGCAAGTAATAGGCCGGAACAGCAATTGAACGCCCCACACCCCTCTATGGAGAAATCGACCAAACGCGCACTGGTTTTCTCAAAATATCGTTTTTACAAAAAGGCGGCCAAATCGCCCCGTTCTCCCCTATATAAAAAATACTGCACATACCACATGTTCAGGTCTAGGTCATTTTGTCAGCAAAGCAAAGCAGGCAGGCAGGCAGGCAGGCAGGCCACATACCACATGCCACATGTCACATGTTCAGGTCTAGGTCATTTTGTCGGCAAAGCAAAGCAGGCCGTGCCGTGCCGTGCCGTGCCTGCCTGCCTGCCTGCTTTGCTTTGCTTTGCTTTGTTTTGCTTTGCTTTGCTGACAAAATGACCTAGACCTGAACTGGTGCTTTATATCAGAAATAATTTGGATCCCTTTCAGTCAATAACTTTAAAAAAATAACAGCATTGCGAATACTCACTGGTAACTTATAATTTCAATAGAAAACAGCTTTGCTTCATCAACAACGGCTTCCGTTGAACGGCTTGAAAAAATAAAAACAAACGCGCAAAAGGGTTCTTGGTTTCTTATCGGTATCTTGGTTTTTGTTTGTTTGCCTTGACAACCAGCAAACAAAAAACGCACAAACTGTATGAGGAAAGCCTTATTGAGTTCTCCAGCTTGAAACGTCTAAGAATATTACCCAATCAGAAGCAAGCAATCTGAAGAGCTTAACGACGATTCGCGCTCCATCTGCCCGTGTCGTTTCAACATGCTGCTTGCGGAAATCTTGAACACAATTTTAAAAAAGACCAATCTGTTAGGCGAATCCGTTTCCGTTAACTTGAAATCTAGGCTTTTTCTTGCTGACGTCATACACCTCTGGTCATATCTGGTGAAGACCTTGGCGATCTGGTATCCATCCAGATCGCCATCCAGACCATCGAAATTGCTCTCTAGCGCTGTCAATTTATATTTTTGAGACGAATGGCTCCGGATTATGTGGTTTTAGCATATAACGAGCAAAACTGCTATCTCAACTCCATATCCCATGTTAGACATGAACATGTCCCTTTAAACTAACAAATATGACGCCCGTTTAGTAGACTCCTTGCCGTGGCCGGTCAGGCGGGCCGAGAGCGCCGGGTCTGCGAGTAGATAAGTGTCATTTCACGCTTCTGTGTGGCCGACTTTGGTCCATCGTGACACTGAGCTGTGTGATTGCGCCTTGTTTCGGCTGTGAGAGACGCATATTAATGTTTGGAAATAATTGCTTCGCTTAATATTGTTCTTTTGGCATTCAGCTTTCACTGGAACTCAAAAATGCATCTTAATGTTTTCAAGAATGTACGGGACAGCCGTCGAATAAAAAATTATAAAGTTTTTACAAAATACAAAGACGCAATTTTCAAAAAAGGCCATCGATCGATTTGGATAAAAATTACATTTTTGGATTCAGCTCACCGTCAGCTTTCGAATGGTAGGTATATATCGTTTCTTTTGAGCCTGAGATGACCTTCCGACGAACCGTGCGCGGAGAGGGGAGGGCACTTCAAGCACCTCCTGTAGACAAACGAAGCGTCACAAGTCACAACTGTCTTTCGTGTGAGGTCAACTGTCCACGAATTGTCATTCTAACGGTGTATTGTTCATATAGTAAAACAGATATTATGTGCCTCCCTCCCGCGTGGGCAACTTTGTCATTCACTAATGAACACCCTGTAATATTCCGTATCTTGAAACTCTTTCATTCAAGTAAAAAAAAAAGACCCCCCCCCCCCCCACACACACGTTTCAGTGCTAGTAGACCGCTGACCACCGTGTGACCACTGTGTGACCGCTGTGTGACCGTTGTGTGACCGCTGTGTGACCGCCGTGTGACCGGTGTTTGACCGCTGTGTGACCGCCAGGCCGTCTCTCGGAAGAGACCATTCAGACCGTGCTGGACGATCTGGCCACTTTGGGACACGCTGAGTGGACAGACAAGGCCAAACGCAGGTGAGCTGCTCGTGAGCTCACTAGTCGCCGCTTCAAAATATGCTTCAAGAGAGAGAGACAGAGACAGAGACAGAGAGAGAGACAGAGACAGAGAGAGAGACAGAGAGAGAGAGAGAGACAGAGAGAGAGAGAGAGAGACAGAGAGAGAGAGAGACAGAGAGAGAGAGAGACAGAGAGACAGAGAGACAGAGATCCCTTTATTGGCAGACTAGGTCCGTAAATAAAGGGATCTAGAGTCTGCCAATAAAGAGAGAGAGAGAGAGAGAGAGAGAGAGAGAGCCCATCGTCCAAGCCCATCGCCTCTAACCTAACACATCCTAATTGCAATCCTAATTCCAATCCGTACCTTGTCCAGTCTATGACGGCGTGTCTGGCACGGAGCAATTGGCATACTGCCTGTATTGCCGGGGTTGCGGGGCTGCGGCTGACATTGGGCGGTAGTAGTCTTATTTTGTTTCATTCATTTTGTTTAGTTTCGTTCATTTTGTTACCATTATTGCAAGCGGCGTCATAGATTTAAGTGCATAGCACTTTTGCGCCAATTGCTTATGTTATTTATGAATTTTATGTTGTTCTAGTGAAAATAAATGCGCTCTCTCTCTCTCTCTCTCTCTCTCTCTCTCTCTCTCTCTCTCTCTCTCTCTCTCTCTTCTCTCTTTCTCTCTCTCTCTCTCTTCTCTCTCTCTCTCTCTCTCTCTCTCTCTCTCTCTCTCTCTCTCTCTCTCTCTTCTCTCTCTCTCTCTCTCTTCTCTCTCTCTCTCTCTCTCTCTCTCTCTCTCTCTCTCTCTCTCTCTCTCTCTCTCTCTCTCTCTCTCTCGCTCTCTCTCTCGCTCTCTCTCTCGCTCTCGCTCTCGCTCTCGCTCTCGCTCTCGCTCTCGCTCTCGCTCTCGCTCTCGCTCTCGCTCTCGCTCTCTCTCTCTCTCTCTCTCTCTCTCTCTCTCTCTCTCTCTCCTCTCTCTCTCTCTCTCTCTCTCTCTCTCTCTCTCTCGTAGCCGAGTGGTTGTTAGAGTCTCGGTTTGGTAAGCGAAAGGTCGGTGGATCGATTCTTGCATTAGCGACTTTTTTCTCTTAAAAAGAAGTCGGTCGTAGAGACGCATTTTTGGCCCCTACGTTCGCACGCCAATATTGTACGCCCAATAAATCTATGACAAGTATTCATCTGATTAAAGAAGAAGTTGCAATGCAGTTTGATTGCAGTCTGTACCCGAACTACCAATTTTGTTACGGCACTGTCGATATTCGTCAAAGTCGGAAGAGCTATTATGAAATACACTCGAATGACAACGGACTCCTGTATTATTTCATCGGTCAGATAAGACATATATAGAGATAAATCGATGACGGCGGGGGCAACAACATCGAGGTCGCCAAACTACGCGCACAACAGGCAGCGGACGCGCTCGTCAAGTGGGCCCGGGCTTCCAAGATGGTGGTTGCCGGCCAGAAGACACAGGCGCTGGTCCTGTCGCAGTGGGCCCGGGACGCCGTCAACTGCTCCGTCCGAATGACAGGGGAGACGGTCGTCGCGGGCGACCAGCTGAAGCTGCTTGGAGTCACGCTGGACCGGCTGCTCCACTTCGGAGCCCACTAGAGGTGGCAAAAGAAGAAAATTTTGGGAACCAGACTCGAACCAGACCCGGCTGGACATTTCTGGAACCAGTCGGACCCGGTCGTAGTTGGAACCGGAACCAGTTGGACCCGTTCCCCAAAAGTCAATTAATACAAACTACTTGTAGGTATCTTTAGTTGTATCATGTAAAACAGCCTATTTCCCACTGGGAATACTCATGCGCTACTGTGTGCAAAGAAACATTCACTTCATTCACTTCATATTTTGCAATAATGTGTAGTGTGCAAGATGTATAGTTTATGGTAGGACCCGGTTGGACCCGTCAGAAAATTTCCAGGAACCGGTCTGGACCCATATGGGTTCAGACTGGTTCTTTGGACCGGGTCCTCGGGTCCACATTTTGCCACCTCTAGAGCCCACTGTCGCAGCCTCCGCCAGCGCGTGCGACCTCGAACAAACCAACTCAGACTGCTGACCGGGCGTGAGTGGGGGCTGGAAGAGCGCCAGCTGCGCATCGTCGCCTCCGGCTACATCCGCGGCGCACTAGAACACGCCGCCGCCGCCTGGCTCCCAGCAGCGTCACCGTCCCATGTCATGCTGCTGGAGAGGGAGATGCGCGAGGCCGCCAGAGTGGTAACCGGCTGCCCCCGGTCCACTCCGGCACACGCCGTAATGACGGAGGCGGGCCTCGCCCCGGTGGCCGAGCGACGCACGGCCCTGGCGGCGCGCCTACTGGCCAAGGCGCGCGCCCTCCCGGCTGGAGACCCGCTGCGGAAAGTGGCGGAGAGCCAGGCCCCTACCCGCCTCAGCACCGTGACGGGGTGGAGAGGAGTGGGCGAGGAGACTGAGAGGGCCCACAGCAGGGTCCATAACATTATGTGATCCGTGACAGTACTGAGGGGGCTACAGCAAGTTATGTGAGGGCCCGTACCCTGACATATTACTGAGGGTTATGTCAGTCAATATCAATCATGGAAGGGTGCTCAGCAGTACTGAGGGGACTGTTGCAATGACTAGGAGGGCCCGTACCATACCTGAGAGGGCTCATACCACTCATGCGAGGGCCTGCAGCAGTACTGAGAGGGCCCTTGCAAGAATCATGCCTGAGAGGGTCCATACCAGTCATTAGAGGGCCAACAACAGTGCTGAGAGGGCAATTAAAAGGTCTGGTAAGGTCCTTAGAATGTCTGAGAGGGTCCATACTAGAGTTGCAAAATTTCCCTACCGCACTACCGGTATGCCGGTAATTTTTCACTACCGCAGGTTTATTCGTGGTATCTGGCATGTCTTGCCGGTAGCATGCCGGTATTTTTGATTTTGTGCAAAAAAAAAAATCAGCAAATAATTCAAACTTTGGACACTAAGAGGCTCTCAAATTGTGGTAACAGCAATATAAGCCACTGCAAGATACATTTTGTGGTAGAAGTTCCATTGCTAAGTGTAGGGGTAACACATGGACCTCAGCATTTCACACTAAATTCACAAGGTTGGTTATAATTAGAATTGTCAAGAATCTACTGTGGTCTATAAAAGGAAGAATACTCATTTATGTTGCAAAAGCACGATAATCTAGTAAGTCTAATGGTAGGTAATACGTATAGCACAATAAAATAAATAAATGTTAATGACAACATTCCCTAGGGGAAAAGGCAGAATCAAAACACCCAAAAACACAATGTTTGGAAACTGGCCTTGAGTCCTGAGATCTTGAGATGTGGTCTGAGAAACTCTACAAAGAATTTGACACTGAAAATCCAGCTGAAAAGGCAGGTGTTAGGTAGCCCTGAGCCTGACTTAGGTCCCATAATTAAATGAAAATGGATTTGAACTGGCATTTTGTCTTATCTTTACAAGAAAACACATCATCCAGGCAAAATTGACAAAAAGTGGCGCAAATCATTAGACAACCAAGGATTTACTTTTAAGATTCTCTCTCCCCTAATGAATGGTTGTAATCTGATGACGTAATATTTATTCATATACCCTTTTGGTTGAATACTGAAGAGAAATGAATTTCTTTGCAGTGAATTACACTACAATGTTGATTTCATTATAATTTAATATTGTGTTGGATAATTTTTTTCAATATAATCATTCACGAGGCAGTGGCTTGCAGTCGTTAAACATTTTTTTTGCAGCGTTTTAATCAGCTGGTTAAAAGCCTCTGTTATGGCGCATCTGTTTCGAAATCGATAACCTTGTGTTTGTTCCCGCTTGAGGTTGGAGAGGATGGAAGATATCGTTTTATACATATTATTTGGTGACTATTCTCAGGACCAGTGAGTTATTAACACATTTTTTTACTTGATTCGTATCTTATTCACGAACCAGCAAGCCATAGTTGATAGGAAAAAGTAGATGTTGATCTCGCTTCCTCAGTTAGGAAGATGGCCGAATCTGTACTTGTTTACCTATGTTTTGACCATCTAGATTTTAAACATTTGGCTGGTACCTGCAACATTTTAGGAGAATATGGAAAAGTAGAACACCTGTGAAATGTAAATGTGATTACTGCTCACTGTCCAGTCTTCAAAAACACATTTCAGTAATTCAAGTCCTTTTTGTCCTCACCTTTTTGATGAATGTAATAGTCTTTTTGTAGGCAATACTTCTTTGATTACAGGTGATATTGGAATGGAGTTTCAAAATTGTGGGTATTTGTGGGGCCAACTCAGCCAAAATCAGCCTGCTGGTATTTGTGGTTGGACAATGGATGGCTGTTGGGTGGGAGGGGCACTGAAACTGCCAAAATGTGGCATCTCTTGCAGGGGTCAGCTAGAATCAAGAATGCAGGGTTTTTAGTATGCCGGTAATTTGGCGGTTTTTTTGCTTGGGGCGTGGTAGCATGCCGGTATCCCAGAAAATTTTTGTGGGGCGGGGCGGTGCCGGTAGCAGCCTTTGGGGAAAACTTTGCAACTCTAGTCCATACCAGGCCTTAGAAGCCATCTAATAGTATAAAAAGGCCTATATCAAGCCTCTGAGGATCCCTACCAGTCAAGAAAGGGCCTTTACAGGGCTCCAATGTCCATGCCAAACTGAGGATCTACCGAACTTCAGAAGACCCATACCAGGCCTCAGGGGCCCAAACCAGGCTTCAGAAGGACCATACCAGGTCTCAATGGGGACCTGACAGGCTTCCGAAGGCTCAGTCAGGTCAGGTCAAAGATGACGTCACAGGGATCGAAAAAGTCAAAATGGCGGCGCTAGATATGGAGAGTTTTTCTCGAATAACTTTCGAATTAGTCAAGATAGGAACAAACTAAGGGCATCATCGTGATCCTCTCGTCAATCCGCATCGAATGATATATAAGTTGACCTTGAAAGGTCAAGGTCAAAGGTTGACCTCGGGTCACGTGACCTCGAGGTCATCATGTATATCATTCGATGCGTCTTGACGAGCTGAACACAATGAGACCATCTGCGCGGCTGTATCTTGTTTCTGTACGGAGTTATCGGCAAAAAAACCTTTGGTGACCTTTAATGACGTCACATGACCTTACAGCTGCCCAATAGCAAAACAGACCTCAAGGTAGTGAAGGTTGATCGTATATTAAGTCATGTATGGTATATGGGGCCATTCCGACCCGTTTTAGTGGTAAAACAGGGAGTTGATTTTTCCCCCATTGACTTGTAATGGGGAGGTCGCGAAATTGACCTGACCTTAGGTCACCGATATCAAAATTCCGAGATATACAAATTGTAGCTGCTAATGACCTTATAACATCCTGCGACTTTCAAAGGATTCCGACATCTACTGTAGCTCTGGCACGGTGACAAAGTTGCAAAAAAGTGACTTGAGGTTGGGTCATCCAAAGTGACCTGGTGACCTGACCTTTAAAGTTTGGAGGTTCAAACTTGCACACCCTGTGTAAAATTGATGAGGGAATAGTCGTACCAAATTTCGCGGCGCTACGCGCCGCGGTTTTCCCGCTATTTGCGAAAAACCTCAGGGGGCGGATATCCGCCCCCCGTCGGTGCGCGTGTTAACTTCACCTTTCAATCGATAGGTAGGTTATTGAATAGCTGCCAAATGGCTACCAACTTAACAGCGGAAAGGAATTTCTAAAGGAACTTCACTATCGAAGGCTGGAACTTACCAGCAGTCAATCATTTTATTGACCAATCCCGGTGTTTTTTTTTGGGGGGGGGGCTAATTTATATTGCCGCCCCTGTCGAGTTTTGAATAGGGGGGCTTTAGCCCCTGCCGCCCCCGCCCCCTGGATCCGCCAGTGGTTTTGCGGTGTTTGCGTTTTGCGGCGGGCGGGCGTTTTTTTTTTTCACGATTCAAAGTCCCAACCTTCGGGCCGCAGCGCTCCTCGAAAAGCGCTGCCCTCGAGTATAGTGAGCTGAATATGTCATATGCATGAATTTATAGTGAATTTATAGTGAATATGTTATGTGCATTAATTTTAAAATCAAGATGATTGCACTGTGACGAGCTTGAATGTTTGTATCTTGTTTTCTTTGTGATTATGTCATGCTGATGAAGATTTACCAATTGAAACGCGTCCATGCACAAATCGCTACCTATAGTTCGTTTTTTTTCAAAAGGACGCTGGCTCCAAGTATGTTTTTCGAACAAGCACGTGTTTTAGCCGCCAAAACGAGCAAAAACTGAACCTGAGAAAATCGAACGTCGACTAATTTTAACATGTGATTTCTTCCCGATAATTTTCATATGTGCGTTTTGGAACCAGATATGGGAACAGTGGTGACGTCATGCTGTCTAACATGTATTGCAATGTAACGTATAACTATCATGGACGGAACCGCTTACTCGATTATGCTCGGCAACAGTGAAAAACTAAGTTTCACCCAAATTCGTTGACACTTGTCCCATTGCACGGACATTTGGGTGCCTGCTGCCACCAGTGACGTCATTATAGTATGTTCATTTTTAAGGAACAATTTCCAGCTACTTACCGTGCACAATTTGAAATCGATTATTTTTTCGGTAAGAAATTCTTGGCCAGACACTGAAGCTGCCAAAACTCACGTGAGAGCTTCGATATTGCACTTTGAGCCAGCGTCCTTTTGAAAAAAAAACGAACTATAGTTACCTACGTGTTTTTTTCAGAATGATTTATAGGAATTAACTAATATCTGAACCGGGACAGACGAGAAACGTGACCCTGATGCGGTATTAGCGTAGCAGGTATTTGGAAGTAGGGATCGCTGCTGCAGCGGCGGCTGACGGGACGATTGCGCCCTGCAGGTGCCTGGTGTTGTGGCGCTCGCCGGCTGAGTGGGGTCAGCTGATCTACGGCTGGGCGGTGGACAGCGGCCTGGTCGGCTCCGTGTGCACCCTGTACGAGCTGACCCATGGCGACCACCTCACCGACCAGCGTGAGTCGCCGCCACCACCCTATCCAGTGACTCACATTAAAGCTAAACTATATTTTTATTTTTCTTGAGACTGCACCGAGTCATACTATGTACAGTCTGTTCCACTTACAGTTTGCAGCCGAAGCCCTGCATGCACAACAGTACGTGAACAATGATGCAAAGGCCAAGATTACTACAGGGTTGAGGGTGCGGCAAAATTTTTGATATTTTAAAAATCGTCTCTTCCTTTCAGTAAAAATAATACCGTAGTTTCTTGCAACTATGGCCACCGAGGGCAACTTTGGCCCATGCCTGAAAAAGTGATTTGTTTTGCTGTAGCTTTTTACACTTACCTAGTGCAGAAAAGCTGTTGTTATGGTTCGGTAAGACTGTTCATCGATTACCTTTGGGAGCAGTTCTGAGTTGGTCCTAAGGCCAAGTTGAAGGGCTAGGAGAGGTTAAAACAACCCATGAAAAAATAAACGGAAAATCAGGGTTGGCTACAATGGTGCAAACAGGGGCACACACGGGCCCGTGCCCCCCCCCCCCCATTCGAGTTGGGGGGCCCGAATCCTTAGACCGCCGAAGACCGTGTAAAAACGAGCTAAAATAATGATTGAGAAGACCGGGAGGGCCCATCTCGTTCCCGAGCAGGCCCATATGAGTCCAAAAAATGCCCAGTAGCGCAGTCAGAGTGATTGTGGTGAAATTTCAATGACCCTCAAAAGGCCTCAAAGGGCCCTCGGATGGCGTCACCGGGTCCTCAGATGGTCTCAAACAGCAGCGGCGGAACACCTTCAATTAAAGGGGGGCACTGCCGACTTTTGGTCCCATTCTTTCCACGCAACGCCCATAGGGCTAATGTTAAAATGCCAAAATCAAAGGGGGGCACGGTGCCCCGGTGCCCTCCCCGTTCCGCCGCCTATGGTCTCAAAGGGCCCTCAGCTAGCGTAAAATGGCCCTCAGCTAACGTCAAACGGACCTCAGAAGGCCTCAAAGGGCGACAAAGGACCCTGAGCTGGCGTCAGAGGGCCCTGGGCTCGCGTCAAACGCCCCCCCCCCCCCCTGACGCTGCTGCGGGCGGGCTGGTCGGGTTGTCGCGCCGGGCGATCTCGCGCGCGACCGGCGGCGGCGCGGTCCTCTGCGCCCGTTGTTGGTCCGTCCGCCGCTGTCGCCGCCTTCGCGAGGCTTGCGCCGTCGGGATCGTGCTCTGCTGGCTCGGCCGCCGGCGAGGCTGCTTTACTTTAGTTGTATAATGTATATGTTACAGTTAGTATGCGAAATCCGTTAGTTTGCAACGCAACTAGTTTCGTTGCAAACTACCTGACCGGCCAGGTAGTTTGCAACGAAACTAGTTCAGTTGCAAACTAACTGACCGTCCAGTTAGTTTGCAAACTAATTAGTTAGGATGCAAACTACCTAGTTACGTTGCAAACTACCTAGTTACTTTGCAACGGAACTAGTTGTAATGCGAAATCGACGAGGCAGTGGCTCTATTTGTCGGTTATATTAAAATTATGTGTAAATTTTAACAACGATCTTTAAAACAAAGCTGTGTTTTTTTCTAACGGGTGACACTAGACATAAGACGGGTGGTCACAGTGAACTAACCGGATTCGACTACATAACTTTACGATCACTGGCGGATCCAGAGGGGGGGGGGCGCCGAAATCGCTCCGCCATCCACGCAGCGCCCGAAAGCGACAAATATTTAATTATTATGAGAATGAAACGAAAACTTTGCAACTTTTATAAATAAATACTTGTTTTAGACTGCACAGCCGTGTGTAAGGATTGGAATCAAAATCCGAAAGGTTTTTTGAACTTGGAGATTTTTTGGGATTATGTCTCCCGCAACGTTTAACCCGCGCGTGACTGGGGGGGGGGGCCCTACAGAGCCCCCTCCCGTTTTTCGGCAATATCTTCTAAGCCGTTTTACGGATCAACACGAAACTTGCAGTACCCTCAGCGACATTGATTTGAAACCTTGTGTTAAAATTTCAACTTTCTAGCTACCATATTTTGGCCGAAAATGACGTCAGAGTGACGTAATGTCGGCCGATTTTGATGCAACGTATTGAATTACGGCAAACGCTCTCAAGAGCTTAGTTTTAAAGCTAGATCCAATTTCTTTGCATCATTAGACTACAAATACGAGTACACGTCGCTATCAAACTGCTGTCTCGAATTTTCAAAATTTTGGAAATTTTAAGAATATGTTTTTACAATATTTTTTCCTATTAAAAAAAAAATATTTTTCGCAAAAACCGGAATATATGTGATAGAACACACACTGACAAACTACTCTAGTAAGTTTTAGCCCGATATCTTCAGAAATAGCCAAGTTATTTGCATTATTGTCAAAATTTTACAATTATATATTTTTCAAAACCATTTTTCAGTACGTTTTTGACATCGTACAGTAAAATAAATGGTACCATCGTTTTCCTGAGCTCAAACTGCATCTGATAGGCACCTTTTTTGTTAAAAATTCTCATTTTCAAAATTTGACCTTTTCTGACCTGTAATTGACCTGACCTCCGGTAAATTCAGCTGAAAATGACCTCAAATGACACGTAAGTCATTATTTTCGAAATCTAAATGTAAAATTGCCATAAAACATGCGTCACGTGACCGATACATGATATATAATTTTCGTGACCTAGGATGACCTGGCTTTGACCTGAAAAAAAAGAATCGAAGTAAAAGTTCGGTACCCTCAGGGTATCTAAGGCATATATCAAGGGGTGAGTATACCAAAAATCAGCCTGATCGGACTTGTCAGTCGGCGGCCAGAGCCTAAATTGTGAACAAGCAAAAATGCCGATAATGTTTACTTTGACCCAGCCTGTGACGTCATCGGTGACCTCCAGGTCAGTGAAAATAGGTTTCATCCCACAGTTTTTCCAGGGTTATCAGACACCGTTTGAATTTTGACGATCGGCCCAGTAGTTTCGGAGATAGGAGGGGGGCTCTGGAGAGCCCCCCCCCCCCCCCCCTCAGTCACTCGCGTAATGGAAAATGTCCCAGTCATGCGCGGGCTAAGACCATCTTTCTGGAACCGCCAGTGATCACCAAAAATGCGTGGACATAAGCAGAAAGTAAAGGTTCTGCTGCCGATTTCGGAATATTCAAGAACCAGGCCGCTGACGAGCTCCTACCTCCACAACCGATCAGTATGTGACGCGACCTGCCCTTTGATCATTGGCTGTTACCGAATGACCCGGCACCGCTAGGTCACCCATGGCTAGGCAAGTCGCAGAAGGAGTCGGCCGGTGAGACAGATTCTTGATCGCACGCTTACCCCGGACCACGGGCCATGGGACAATACAGTTCAGTTCTGTTCTGTGCAGCGGCGGTGGTGACTGGTGTTAGTGTGTGCCGCAAAAAAAAATCAAAATCGCAAAATGCCCCCCCCCCCCCCCGGAACTGCCCCTGCTCTGGATCCGCCAGTGATCGTCACATTATGTAGTCGAATCTGGTTAATTCACTGTTTCATCCATAAATGTGACCACCCGTCCTACTCGTATGTCTAGTGTGACCCGTTAGAAACACAGCTTTGTTTTAACAACCGCTGTTATAATTTACCTAAAAGTTGAATATAACCGACAAATAGAGCCACCGCCTCGTCGATTTCGCATCACAACTAGTTCCGTTGCAACACACCTAGTTCCGTTGCAAAGTAACTAGGTGTTTGCAACGTACCTAGGTAGTTTGCATCCTAACTAGTTACGAGTAGTTTGCAAACTAACTGTACGGTCAGTTAGCTTGCAACGGAACTAGTTTCGTTGCAAACTACCTGGCCGGTCAGTTAGTTTGCAACGAAACTAGTTGCGTTGCAAACTAACGGATTTCGCACACTAACTAACATATACATTGGTTTGTTTGGATCAGGTTCCGGTACATACATTGTGAGCACTGGTACAGAGTGGGGAGCTGCCAGCGCCGCGCTGCTTGGATCCGCTGGCCCGGCCTCCGACGTAACTGTGTATGTGGTGTGTAATTGTATGCCGCTCTGGGCAGAAACTCGAACTGACGATGTATGGGTGGGTTTTGGCGCTGCTGAGGTTGTGGCAAGTGTCAACCTTTCAGATTGTTTGGCGTGTGCCACCGTTGCCGTTTGAAGCGAATAAACCGGAAAAAGACAAAAAAAAAACATATTTATGTAACTCGCGTCCCGCTGGGCTATTCAGCCGTACGCGCCCTGCGGGGGGGGGGCACATTCTGCCCCCCCCCCCCTCTGTCTAACTTTCGAACCGATGCACTATGGTTGGAAACGGCCTCACGGATGGCCGGGGGTCAACGCGAAAAAATGTTTTGCCCATAACTTGTTAATGCGTAGACCGACTGCGATGAAACTTTGCATATGTATACCAGTGTCTTTCGTGCATCATACAGTAACTCAGAAATGACGAGGTCACGTCACGTCACGCGTGTGTGACGTCATCATTGCAAGTATGTTATAAGTCGTCTATGTCTTTCGTAATGTTATCGATATAGCGAGGCATTTCGAACATGTTTTGAATACTGCTATTACTGAATGGATATTGTTGTTATGCTTTAGGGCGAGAAATATCAACGTAGTGACGCACAGTGTCTTACTTTTGGTCATAAAGGGTAAAAAATTTGGAGAAAAAGTATTAATGATTTTTTTTTAAATTGGGCAACAAAGTAAAAAATAAAATGACGATCAAATGACAAAAAATGCGTCAGATTAAAGGTAGTGTGCCAGCTTTCTTGGACCGTATGGAGTTAATGGCCCAGATAAGGAGAACCGGATTTTTAGAACTTATCCATACCTTCAAAACTCATGGAAACGTCTTAAATTCTTCAAATTTTGAGTACCCCAGTGCGAAATTCGCCCCGACGGGTTGTCGGTCGTACCCCAACCACATTTCACACCACTATGAACAATAAATGCACACACTGAAATCGCTATTACCGATATGCTCATCCAATCAAGTTTCGATAAACCCGTTCATCATCATCTCCTGCGGTTTCGAACACGCCTGTTAGGTGGCTTCTGATGCTCGTCGAGGTCGGAATTTCCAAATACGCGTGGTGCGTCGGGCCGCGCGCTCTGACTTCGGCCAAGAAAAATGCGTCAGCTGATCATTGTCATTTCTGCCACTTGCGTGTGGTGAAATGGGGTCATAACTTATAAGACGGCTTTTTCATATCAATTATTTTACATAAAATCATATTTCAAACCATAAATAATGTTCGACAGCCAAATAAAAGAAACAATAACAATACGGGCTTACAGTTTAAGGCTCGACATTGTGTTGTCTACGATTAGACAGCTGATAACTCATTCCCGTACGTCGTATGGTCGTAACACTATAATGACCTTTGCTTATTGTCACAAGTGCGCCGCATTCGCGATTGTTGCCCGACGCCTGTTTGCAGGTGAGCCCACTACAGTTGTTATACATATCTAAAAACCGAAAAACTTTTAGGCGAAAAAGGCACTATTCCAGGCCCATTTTTGATTTTTTGCGATATTATGTAAAAACAGAAGCTTCTTATCCTAGGAAAAATAAAATGGGAAATCTTTCAAAGGTGGCACACTACCTTTAACCCGGCAGTTGCTGGGGTATCTCCCCACCCGCCGTTTGCCGTGGGGGGGGGGGCGTTCAACGCCCCCAGCCGATATCTCGCGAACAAATAGGCGCTGCGAAACGCACGAGGCGGCAAACGAAAGAAGAACGCGACGAGACGATTCACATGAATATTTAAAAGTTGAATTTCGAGGTCACAGGTTGGGTCAAGGTCAGGTCAAACACTTGAAATCGGGCTTTCAGTAGCATGGACTTTAGAACCTCGCAATCGGTGCCTCTCCTCGTCATAAACTCTGTCACAACTGTCACAGCCCTTCATTTAAGTGCTAAAAGAGTGTCAATCCATGTATGTAGGAGTCAGTCAAACATAGGCCAGGGTCAAAGTCAGGTCAATCAGGTAAGCACATAACCCCGAAAATTAAAACTGGTACCTATTCGCAGTCCATGACACATGTTTATGGGTACTTTTGGGCGTAGAACACGATGGTGACATTCATTTTATCATACGAGTACGTGGTTGGTTGAAAAAAGATCAATTTCAGAAATGCATGCAGCATGGTCGTGAAGTAGGGGAGAGTGGGGCACATTCGTGCATGGGGCACATTCGTTTTCAGCAGTTTATGGGAACACGAGTGACTGCACGAGCTCAAGGTAAATTATGGAAATGTGTCTATCATTGCCGCCCTTCGTTCACCGTAGAAGACAACACTGTACCTGCTGTCATGCTTGATAAAAACGCAAATTTGTAATATTCGTGAGCTTTCCAAACTTTTCTCATATCATCCATTTTCGTGATCGTGACTCGGAAATGTGGTTCAGCTTTTCAAAATTGGGGGCGAAGGTGCTCACTCTATTCACGGAACTGCTGCAAACTTGTTTGTTGACAAAGTGTCATTTTTTCAACAAGAAATTTTGAAATATATTACAAATAACGTTGTGGGGCAGGTTCGTGTACGCACTGCCTGGGGGCACATTCGTGCATATTTTTTTTAGTTTTTGCTATTTATGACTTTATCTATAGTAGGTTTCACTAATGACGCTCGCCTGACTCAGTCTCGGCTGCTTGCGACGTCGTGACGAGTAATTCACGCGAACTTGGCGAGGTCACGGAGGCCGGCAGTTGGCACATTCTTGTTGGCCAGCCCATTCTTTCTACATATGTTGTGCAATGCATTCTTGTCGAAAGGAATCAAGTGAAATGACCCCCTGCCAATTTCCTTTGGTAAATTTCTGGTAATGCCTGGTAATTTCTAGAACTTTGCAGGGTGCACGGAAGTGCCCCACCCCTTGCACGAATGTGCCCCATAGGTGGGGCAGTTTCGTGCAAACGTTCAGAGTTATTAAAAGTCATTTTTTTCTAATAGAAGCAATAATTTTAGAGGATAACTTTTAAAGAGGAAAAATATCTGCAATAGTTCCTTTCCATACCACAATCAACAATTTTGCCGTTGCACTAACCAAAGAACAGATATATGGATTTATCCATTTTTTGCACGAATGTGCCCCACTCTCCCCTAGTCACGAGAAATTGCCAACATTCAGTTCAAGATTTTGGGAAATGTAGAACGATGATCGAAAATCATAGATAGCCATTTGATTTGCCATGGTATTGGCAGTGTAATGGCGTTTACAGCATGTCTGTATGTCTGTTCTGTCAGTGGATATCCATATCCATATTCCAGGATATCCATACACGTTTGCACGATATCCATACTCCAGGTGCAGGGGCGAGCAGTTACTTCTTACAAGGGGTGCGGAGTCGAAGTCAGAGTCGGAGTCAGAGTCGGAGTCGGAGTCAGAGTCGCCCAGAGTCGTGGCAACGAGCCAGGAGTCGGAGTCGGGGTCGGTCAGGAGCCCGCAGTAGAAGTGGGAGTCGGTCCGAATCGGAACAGCTCTATCACGACTCGGAAACACTGGCAGGGGTCCGGAGTCGGAGACAGAGTCACCCGGGTCCCGGAGTCATGGCAACGAGTCAGGAGTGGGAGTCGTAGTCGGAGTCGGATTTGGCGCCATCACGACTCCGCAATTCTGCTTCTTTCCATCATTTATTAGGATAAGCGATTGCACGACTGACGAGCCGACCCGCTGCTAACGAAGCGACGGGTAGGTACGCCTCGGGAGATGAAGCTTCACAGAAGATTTTGCGCACAAGTGCGCAGTTTGCTTTTAGGTTCCCCTTACGCAGAATCGAACAGAGATTTATTGCGCCAAAAAGCTCAATGGAGGTCGATGGAGAACTTTTTGTAAGTCCAGTGAAACATAAACTTAATTTTGCAAATGTTGCTGTGGTGACACTGCAAATAGAATGCAATGCCGTTCCTGATTTTGAACACGCATGGGAAAAAGAGTCACTCCACTCGATAGCCAACATAACAAGGATTATTTTGATATATAATAATCCAGTTTTACAACGTCATTGAGGCACTCCACATGCTATCACCAGCGCGGTTGTTTAAACCTTTGACGGCGCACCAAAAAGGCCACTGTCAGAAACTCCCGATTCCACGTACGATAATGAAGACTAAATGCGCAACTAAATATTTTTTTCTGCCCAATTCAAAACATTTCATCAATTTCCAACCGAATGACACCCCAAATATACATATATCCCGAAATTGCCCAAGGCCATCCGTGACGCCGTTTCCAACCATAGTGCGATGGTCGTAGAAAGACGGGGAAAACGGCAATCGAAAGCACTCAACAAGGCGGATATTTAGAGCCGATTTTTTTTTCTTAAGATGGTCAGAGGTCAGGTCAAGGTCAGGTCAAGGGTACAAAATGCAAGTTTCTACAATATCGGCCTTGCACGGTAGTTGCCGAAGAATGGACTGAGAGTGATTGCTCAAAACGTGTTCTTAGCTGCGCAGCTAGCCCTGATCGCCCCGCCCGCTCTGCGCCTCCGCCGTCCGTCCGACCTCTAACCCAGAGGCCAGTTTTACCAACAGAAAATTAGCCGCCTGCCGGAATTTTTTGCCTAAAGACCGCTTCACATACGGAGCGTAAACGGTAAATCCCTATCCGCTTACGTGCCCATCGCGTTTACGCTCCGTATGTGAAGCGGACTTCAGGCAACAAATTCCGGCAGGCGGCTATTTTTCTATTGGTAAAACTGGCCCCTGATGGCCCCGCCCTCTCTGCGCTACGGCCGTCCGTCCGGCATGCTAACATCCCGGTCCGGTGTTCCGCAGCGTTCCACGGCCTCTGCGAGGAGCTGCTGGTGCGTGCGCTCGGCTCACTGCAGGCCGCTGGAAAGGCAGAGCTGATGGACAACGAAGGAGTCAAGTTCTTCTAGCGCCGGCCGGCGCGGTGGTGTGATCTGTGCTGCTCAGAGCACCGGCGGGCGGCGTCGGCACGGGCGGACGCCTCTGGCTGGTCTCCTCTGGACGGACTCCTGTGTGGGCTCTCGTGTACAGACTTGGCTGGCTGGGAGTGCTCATACCTTGCGAACTCTGTTGGCCATTTTGGCCTATCTGCTTCAAATAACAATGACTTTTTTATTTCAAAGTCATTTGTTTTACATTCTTCGATCCATTCTCCGATTAGCTTTTCCATTGCGGGAATAATCAGGGTTTCGAAAATCGAAAGGTTTGCTATTGCTGGTTTGCAATGCTCAGGCTCTGATGATGTCAATGGTATGCATACGCGCTCTTTAAGTGCTTGATTGTTCGATCTACTATACTATTTGTTGAATGAAACTCTGTCTGTGTGTCTGTCTGTTTGCACCGTGCAGAGGGGTGCTTTGACGTCGTGCACAGGTCAAGCGGTGCGTTGGAGGGGGCTGAAATTTGCACACGGTGTTGATGACGTCACGCGCACGTGCAGTGTCAAGGTTCGAGTCTCGGGGGTGGTTGGTTTGCACGTGGCACGCGCTGGAAAAGTACGTATTTCCTCACAAATTTGCTCAGTCTTCAAGGCATCGGCAGCCGGGTTCAATGGACTTGGACAATAAAATGCATGTCAAGCGGCAGCGGGTGCCTGTCATTTGCGGAGAGTGAGCCTATCCAATGATTTTGATAATCAAACAGAGGCGATGGAAGGTGTTGATTATTGTTAAATGAAGACAGTTTGTAATACGATATGCAAATACACCGCGTTTGCCACAATGCGCCACATATGTCGTAAGGCGCCATTTTTTGTCGCAAATCGCACAATGTCGATAACTTTGTCAAATATGGTATGTTCAAACCACAGGTAACAATGCACCGCGTTTACCGCAATGCGCCACATCTGTCACAAGGCGCCAGTTTTGCCATTAAAAAAATCAAAAACTTCGGATCTGCATCGGGCGGCGCAGGTCACTTCCCGGACCAATAAAACGGGAACGCAGCGCCCGGTCGACATTGGGCAACCGCTGACGTATAGAGCATTGGTGGGGCTATCTTACAGCATGTGGATCGGAGAGCGGCACAGTGATTTCAGTTGACGTGCACGAAGCACGAAGGGTGTCTCTATAAGTTGGAAAACGTTTTCCGCGATTTTTCTTCCTGCTCAAAGACCGATAACTGACGACAACTTTCAATCGGTTACGGGTATTTCGGCGCGGCGGGTTAACTTTTCGAATTATCAATTTTGCCCGTCGAAATTCGCCGCAACATTGACACGGGTGTGGTTTCGGCCCAATATCTCACCAGCCAGGCAACCAATCGGGAGAGGACCTACAACTGCATGTCAACAATTTGGCCACTGGATGTAATAAATGAACCACACGCAGGTAAGGGCCACGGATTAGTGTTAACCCTCGCCCGTATTGGTGTTTTTCCAGCCGCGAACGTATAAGGGGGGGGGGGTCCGTTGGACCCCCCTTGCCGTTTCGCCCCTGATCAAGCTAGAGCTTCGCGGAAAAAACGAGCGTGTTGCCCGTGACGAGAGGAAGCCGATGATACCTAATTTTAAGGTCCTAGGTCATTGGTTGACCTTACAGGTCAGGTCAATGACCCAAAAGTCTGGAAAATCGGGACCTGTTAGAACGTCGTAAAGTGTGGCTGCTATGGGGTTTTTCGGGGCGCTGATCACGAATATCATGTTAGTTTTGATCACAGATGATGTCTTTATGCATTTAGTCCAGGTCGGGTCAGGTCAGGTCAGGTCAACCAGTAGGGGTCCTGCCGGGTATTCCTATATAATATCACACGGGGCCGGTAAAATGTTTCATTCAGGACCGAGGGATTTGTTGAGTTTTCCGCACGAGACCGAAGGTCGAGGGCGGAAAATTCAACAAAGCCCGAGGTCCTGAATGAAACATTCCGGCCCAAGTGTGATATTTATTTTAGCATATGCCGTTAATATCCATATTTAAGCTTCTTTAACAATTGTACATGCTTGAAAGAAGTGAAAAAACCAAGAACAAATATCAAGAACTAAAAAATGTACATATTCCCTGACCAAGATAATAAACCAAGCCGACTCAAGATCACTGTGTTCCATCCTTGTGTCTGGCTCTGAGTTGGATTCATATCAAACCAAGAACATCTATTTCAATCTATGTCATATGAGAAGCTAGAGTAACGTTCGTTTTCAATATTAGAGAAGAGTGGAAGGTATACCATCCTGTGAAGTGAGCGCTTGGTTTTTTACCCATGTCAGTATGAATAAAGTTTTTTACTGATCAATGTGAAATGCGTTTTTGTCAATTCATTGCAGTTGTAAAAGGCATGAAATTGACGCCATAAATGTAGGTGATTTATTAATATGTCTGTACATTAGGATTTAGAATATTATCTTATTGAAAACCAACATTTACAATCTGTTCAATAGTTCAAAGCGACCAAATGCAACACGTAAGTTCACGTTAGATTTCTATCAGTTAAGCTCTTTTCCAGCGCCTTCCTCCGTCTCAGGAAATGCTTCAAAAGTTCGCTGATAAAATGTTTTGCCCATGGGCCGAAACCTTTGACCAATTGCCTTCAACATTATGCGGTTTAATCCAAAAAGCTTTTACCGCACGCTCGCGCTAATGCTAAAGGCATACTTCGGCATATGCTAATAGTAGGTGTCAACCGCCTCTGACAGCTTCGTAACATCATGGATGATATAACACTGGATTGGTGTCTCGTGGAAATTAACATTGGGATCCGCGACATTAGGATCAGGCCTGCCATCTAGCGAGAGAATTATCGTAAGTTAGGAGCAAGCCGAGTGAACGCCATCTCTCAGCATTATGACACACGTGGGTGTGGTGTGTTAGTTGGCTTGAAGTGCATATTCCCACGAGTTGGAGGTAATCTTACTTGACCTGAGACGACAAAAAAAATGTCTTAAATGCTTGAAAGCCAAAAACGTCAAGCAGCCTTTAGGTAATAACGAAAATAAAATGCGTAAGATGGTGTGTATTGAAACGTCCAGTCCGATCGGCTTGTACGACCTTTTATGTGGTCATTTACTCACAAGGGTACAGCAGTTTGACAATACGTCATACATATTTGGTAGGCTTATTCCTTCTTCTCCGAATTTCGCCCGATTTTCTTCATCTCAGTTAATGTTACGTCACGTGCCACGTGCCAACTTAGGGGTGTTGAAATTGTTCCACATAAAGTAACTCCGCAATGGCTGGGCCTATTACAGTAGAACTTCGTCAATAGTTAGGCACCCAGTGGCCAATGCATTTCCATGTGTCACTATGGGGGTGCTACTGCACGTGCGCACGTGCGGGGTGCCGCAGCGCCGCTTCCATATCTCAAGAACGGCTGGGCGGATAACACTCAAACTTGGTACACAAATGTCACATCGATGCTCGCACTGCATTGATCAGTGCTTACGTTGGTGCAGAGTCATCAGGAAAACGATGAAATGAGATGCGTGGTGTTTATGCCTTTCTGTTCCAGCAGCTGATTGATCCGTAACAGAAGACTCCTGTTTGTGAAGGCTTCGTCTCCCTTTTCCATTCCTTGTTTAACCCGCGCCCTGCTGGGGGGTGTTTGAACACCCCCCCCCCTTGTGGTTTTTCGCGAATATCTCAAAAACGGCGGCGCGGAGCGCCGCCGTTTTTGGTACACCTTATCATACATCAAGTCTACACATGTTGTGAAAATTTCAGACCAAGGTCATTCAAGGTCAGGTCACCAGGTCACTTGAAGTGACCTCACCTCATAAAAAGTTTCAATGTCTGTCATAGCTACACCGAGTGACCGATCGCTTTGAAACTTTCAGCGATTGCTAAGAGCAATAGCATGTACAAAATGCATATCTCAGAATTTTGATAACGATGACCTAAGGTCAGGTCAATTTTGCGACCTCCCATTATAAGTCAATGAGAGAAAATTGAAATGCGCCTCTTTTGGACGAAAGACATTATAAACACTCCCAAACACCGAATTACAAGTGGTTTATAGACACACTGAACATGAAAATGGTGTCCGTGACCCTTGTGTATGCCCTGAGGTCATCTTAGGTCACGAATGGTATCTAACAGTTTTTCGCAAATAACTTTTGATAGAGGCATGCTAGAGCGATGAAAACGCCTTAGATGTGTTCAGCTCGACGATACGGATCGACTGATATGCAACATGACCCTTTCCGGTCAGGTCATGACCTTGACCTGAGGTCAAATTTTCAAGTTGACCTTTCAAGGTCAAGTTATAGTTCATTCGATGCGTCTTGACGAGAGGAACACTATGCCGGTAAAAGTAAGCTCGTACAGGGCTTGGGTCAAAAGTTATTGCATAAAAACTGTTTTCGAAAAAATCGGCTATTTTTGCAGTTTTTGCCCCCTGCAGGCAAAACCGTTGACGTTAGGTCAAATCTGAGAGAATTACTCAGAAAGGGCGTTAATAGGGCTATCAAATGCGCTTTTCCGCGGCGCTGTAGCTCTATTGGTTCCCGAGTTATGCGTTGGCTTCTTGGAAATTTTCGCCATTCGACCTGGAAATCGGCGAAATTTTGCCTTCAATGACCTCTGGTGACCTGACCTTTGACCTGACCAAAAAATTGACCGAAGTGATTTCGTTATTATTTTTGACGCTCTTTCGAACACCGCCTTCCGCGTATCGCTACGTGGCCCAGGAGCCGAGTTACAAGGGGGGGTGTTCAAACACCCCCCCCCCCCCAGCAGGGCGTGGAAATCCAGGACCCTCAGCCGGGCGCGGGTTAAAATAACATAACAGTGTACGAAGAAGATCACACATCAAAGTTGTTTTAGGCGGCTATCTTGGGCCAAGATTCTTACAGATATCTTGGGCCAGGGCTGCGGAGTTGAAGTCAGAGCCAGCGGTTCTGTTCCGACTCGGAGTCGGTTTATTTTTAAAGGCCATGTAGTCTGAGTATGAGTCGAACATCACCGAAAAGTCATCGACTCACAGACTTACCAGGGCTGCAGAGTCGGAGGCAGAGTCGGAGTCTGTGTGAATCGATAGTTCTGCCCGGAGGAGTCGGAGTCGATATTTGAATACCGGAATCGGAGTTGGAGTCAAAGTCACTGAAATTTCATCGACTACGCAGGACTGGTTGGGTCCTTTTCATAGAGCGTCTTGAATTACATATTGAGCGGCAATGACGTTAGCAATTCCGTTTAACTTTTTCATTAGACTTATAGATAGTACTTAACTTCGTTTTGTTCTTTGATTTGACCGTTTGTTTGATTTAGGCCAAGTAAAGACTCATGTGAAAAATAGCGAAAACGACACGTGCTGGCGAAGTCTCCAATAACTCCCTGTTTCACGATTTAATGAGGAAATAACATGGAACTGCTTATCTTATTACTAACCCTGCACATA